CTGGCGCAGCTGATGGACAGCGAGACGGACATGGTGCGGCAGATCCGGGCTCTAGACAGCGACATGCAGACCTTGGTTTATGAGAACTACAACAAGTTCATCTCAGCCACAGGTGACCGCCCTGGGCCGCTCCCTGTCATCAGCACACAGCCCCAGCGGCTCCCCTTACCTTGTGCTGCGGAAGCAGAGTCCGGTCTTGCACAGGCATGAACCCACCTTCACTTGCCCCTCTCCGAGCTTTTGTGGTGAGAGCCTTGCTTTGAGGACCAAATGGGAGAAAGGATAACATGAAAAATTTTAAATGAAACCAATTTATCTAAAGCGCTTAAAAGAATTCATTACACCGAGGAAGGCCCAGTATAGGTTGAGTTTTCTTATTAGTGGTACTTTTCTTCTCTGGTCCAGGCCTTTGTTGAAGGTGATCTTTTCTGCCTTTTTTAAATTAACGAGAGACAGGAAGTTGATGTCATTAAGGCACACAAAGGCCATGTAAAGGTTGTTTTTGTTTGTTTGTTTTCCCCTTTCATCTGCTTTATTCTCTGTTCAAGACTTTACTAGACAATATGCAGTTATCATCCACACCAGCTTGTGTTCTTTGTTGGTGAGGGACCTGTCCAAGGGACACCCCGCCATTGAACTATCAGGAAGAGATCTGGAGACTGAGCCTTGAAGTACCCAGCATTCAGAAGGGTGAAGAAGAGGAAAATCCCACAAACGGAATAAGCAGCTGGATGGTTTGAAGACAACCAGGAGGAAGGGTCTCTTAGAAGTAACTGAAGAAAGTATTTCAAGAAAGTAGACTTGATCCACAGGGCTAATGAGCATGATGTACTATGGAGTGCTTACTGATGGTGCAAGAGAGGAAGAAAACTGCAGAGAACCCTCAGGAAGGAGAAAAGGGATGGGGTGGCGCATGGATGGAGGGCTTGGCTTTACCAGGGGCTGAGAGCTTATCCAGTGTAGCAGGAGGAGAAGCAACGTGGGCAGAGGCAGGCAGGTGGGTAGACATGGAATTTAACTAGGACCTTGCAGAACACGTGAAGGAATTTTGCCTTTATCCAGAGAGGACTAAGACAATCAAGGATTTAGGCAGATAAGCAATGTGGTTAAATTTGTGTTTTGAAAAGCTCCTGCATTTGGCTGCAGTAGGAGGAATGGATTGGAGAGGTGTCAGGAGTGAGGCCATCTCAGTGGTGCAAGCCAGAGGATGGAAGTGGTAGAGATGAAAAGTGATGGGCTGAGAGGTATGTAAGGGCAACATTGACAGGACTTTGTACTGGGGAACTTTGGTTGTAAAAAGTGACTCCTAGGTTTTTGTCTGAGCACTGGATCATAGGTGGTGGTGGTGGTGGTGGTGGTGGTGGTTGTTTTTATGTGCCATCAAGTTGGACGCAACTCATAGTGACCCCTGCTTGGGTTTCTGAGGCAGTATCACTATGGAAGTAGATTGCCCAACCTTCCTTCTGAGGAGTGGCTGGTGGGTTT